ACTTGTGTCACAGCATTGGGACTTCTCTGTGACAAAACACACTGCCTTCATTAAAAATTACATTTATCTTTTAGTTGTTGTTTTCTCCGTACTGTGTGTGTGAGAGAGCTTCTACTACAGTATTCTGAAAACTTTGTATGAGGAAAACATATGGTTTTATTCCCCTCCGCCTTGGATGAAGACTTTTCATCTACTAAAGAAGACATCTGTAAAGTCCTCGTACAAAAAAACTTTCTTAAATTAGCAGAAACCCCCCTCCCCATAATAATAATAATGATAATAATAATGGATTAATCATACATAGCGCTTTTCTAGACATTTAAAGGCTCTTTACAATTTTTCATGCACATTCACATACTGTATGCACCGGCGCCACCGCCTCACACCATGAGGGTTCCTCRGTTTCCCTAATTCGTCTCCGTCCCTCATACTGGTAACACAGGATTCCCTTTCCAGATGAAGTCCTTTAGCGCCTTCACTTGAAACACACTTGCCCTAAACAGAATGAGAAATTGACTGACTGTTTCACACGAGCTGTATGTTTTTCTCCCCCCTACAAATACCAAAAGAAGCTGTCAGTGCTTTTCTGGAGCACAAAGGGCCGAGGGTTTGAATAGCCGCCCTGATGAGAGACGCTGCAGGAATGCCTGGCATTGCAAACTCGGGCGTCTTTCAGTGAGAGTTTTTGTTTCATTGTGCAGGGAATTGGCATGCATGGCTTCTCAGACGAATACGCCACACTCAGACTCACACACAGATACTGTATTATCAATGAAGAGCGAGACTTTGGTCATTTACAGCGATGAACAGAGTAGGCAGCTTGTTGCTTTATGTGGTCCACCCAAGGCATTTCTCTGTTAGGCTTTCTGCTGACTCCATGTTTTTTTATGTGTGAGTTTCTTTTATTGCTTCATGTTTTCCWGCCATAATGTGCCTGGTGGACTGTTTACTGTTTTCATGCTTTAGAGACCTTGGATTAGCTCATGTTTTCTGTCAGCCTTGATGGGTCAGCACGGTTCTTATGACCTGGCTTTATAAAGCTCCTTCAAGCCTCAATTGGAAAAGAACCTGCTTTCTTACTGTAATTATTTATATTTTTGGCTGTGGCTTCTGGAAATGTTATCTTGTAAACATATTACTGCCATATATCTGAAATTGGTTACAACTTTTGAGCAGCAGTGTTGGTTTTCATTTTTAAAACCTCGTAAATTCCCATCATATGCCATCAGTGACGAATATTTGTCAGCCTAGCATGGAAGGTTTACCAACCACAATTTTAAATCAGTGGACCATTGTTTAAATGTAAATAGAGAGAGAATGCAATGATTGGCAAGTCTCATAAAACCGTAGTATGTTCACAAAGTAACATCGTAAACATGCCAAATGTTAAATCTTAGAAATTGTACAACTATTAAGAAAAAAAATAGGTTGTTTTRAATTATATGGCAGCAACCAGTGGTRGGCACTAGTCCACTAAAGCGCAAATGCGCTAATTGCAGACCTAAATTTCTCCTTTGCGCTTTAGGGGTTTTACTAATTTCTTCAAATGACATGCGGATTTGCGCTTTCTAAATTTAAAATTGAATAGTGCTAATAGCAAATAACATTACAAGTTTGATAGTCAATATTGTTTAAAGAAAAAGGAGAGAGCCGTCTAAACCCACTATCTTCTGTAGCAATATACAGTATTTCATTAAAGTTTCACCATCATTTTCTTGAACATTAGAGAGGAAAGCTGTCTCTTGTCAACACAATGGAGCTCCACTGAGTAGAAACAGCGACCCCTCAGGCAGCATTGTGTTAACAGAGCTGCATATTCTCACTGACTGACCTTCTGTGCGATGTAGAGAGTAGAGAGTTGACTCAAAAGWCTGTTTCAACAAATCACCTCCCCAAACTGCGACGACATGTGCCAATCTGTGAATGGTAAATATCATTTCTCTAGTTAGCAGTATTGAGCTGCTGACATGTCTTCTGGTGTCACTGGAATGTTTTCTGGTGAACAGAGACAGATTTGCGCTTTATGATTACCTTCCGCTAAGTTTTTATTTTTTTGAGCGTATGTGCTTTTGAACTTGCAGACCTAAATAAATTGACTAGTGCTTTAGAAATTGTGCAACTAAATTTTGAATTAGCGCTGCCCACCACTGGCAGCAACACATTAAAAAAGGACAAGATGGGGGGAACAAAAGGTTTTATTAGTAAGTAGTGCATAAGAGGAAGCAACTGAAGGAACATTTTGTTAATTAGCAACAGRTCAGTAAGCTGTAAACAGAACATTTTAAAGAGCCTGAATCTCATAAGTAAAGATGGGCAGAGGTTCACCAATCTGTGGAAGAGTAGAACAAATCCAAAGGACTCTTCCTCAACAATAAATGAAAGTTTTAAAGTTTTGGCATTTCTAGTAAAAGAAACCAAACAGTTAGTGCACCTCAGTGCATTGGAATGTATGAAGCTGAGTGTAAAATGATCCTGACTCTGTGCTGGTGTGTATTTCCCCCTGCAGTACAAGTGAAGCAGTGATGTTGTTTAGAAACATCAGGTAAAGTGCCACTCGAATGCTCCACTCCAGGCTCCAGCTCAGACAGACAGATGGTCTGGCAGTCCAGTGCTGCCAAACCAGAACTTGTCAGGAGACGAGACAACGGGGCTAATATGGAAAAGCCAACTAGTCATCATTAACTAAATCAACCTTCAGCATTGAGTTGTTTTCCTCAGCGGCTCTATTTCAATCTGAATATTTAGTATTCCTGCTACAAAAAAAAAACCATCACACACTGATCCTTTTTTTTCCATCTCTCTGGCTCTGGCTCTTTTTGGAGCGTTATCTTTTGGAGATGACCCGCTGCTGCTTTCTCTCTCTGAACACAGCCTTCCCTCTCTAAACTATTGATCGTAGTTTTCTTTCCTCCCAGCCTCCTCCTCCTTCCAYGCCCCGGTGGTTGTTGAATTGAGCCAGAACTTGGCCACAGACTGCATCTCTCTAGGTCCACTGGGAAWATAAAACAGGGACTGTTTAAAAAGGAGGGTCACTGGTTCAGGAGCAAGGAGTAGATGTGTGGTTATGATAAGGTTTTAACAGTCTTGAATAATAAATACCCAACATCTCTCATGTTACAATCAGTTCTGCATACTCAGGTTYAAATACTGAAAACTTTTACTAATACTGTTAATAGTTATGATGATGTAGGATTGAGAAACGCACCGTTTATTTCTGGATGAGAACATCATGTGGTGCTTTTGGTTGTGTACTGCAAAGTAACAGAAGTTCATAAAGTCTGAGTCACTTCTGTTACTTTGCAGATGCACATCACTCCAATTAACAGCAGCTGATGAAAGAAAACGAAAACATTTGTTCAGAGGATGAAACAGCTTCAGTGTTGCTGCTGAACAAACGGCACCTTACTGCCATTCCAAATGATAAAATATGAAAACACATTTTTCCTGCACAATAATTACTGTTAAACTGTATTAAAAATCACAAAATGCTGTGAAGGCTATTAACTTACACTAATTTAGCCTAAATTTTAAGCAATATTGTTTGTATCTGTGTGCTAGCATTTCTTACCTTGCAAGGCCCATTTTTTGAAAATATATTACCTTGTGATGACCCACTGCTMCTTATGGGGTCCAAAGCCCGGRCCTCATTTGTACAAAGGCAGGTTTRTGTTGGGGGTTAGGTGTAGGTTATAGAAATAAATGAAAAATAAACAAAAGTCAATAGAAAGTTCCCTTGGAGATATAAAGACATGATATGTTTGTTTGTTGTTAGCAAAAGATCTCATGAACCACTAATTCAAGTAGCCACCACAACTTTGACCATATCAAATTCAAACATTATAATAACTAAGTCAGATTTACAGATATTGAGCTAAAATTTGGTGTGCTGGTAGCTGAGAATCTTCCTCAATACAGACTCTGAGAGCTGCTCATTGTATAACATCTTTGCTTAAAACTTAACCTCAACTGCTCGAGACAGCTCTGTCATTCTGTTAGCTAAATATCAGATGAACTAGTGAACAAAGATGTACAGTCAGGTCCATAAATATTGGGATATCGACACAATTCTCTTTTTTATTTTTTTGGTTGTAAACACCACCGTGGATTGGGAATCAAACGAAATGAGCATGATGTTCTTTAACTGCAGACTTTCAGCTTTAATTTGAAAGTATTTGCATCCAAATCAGGTGAACGGCRTATGAATCACAACAGTTTGTAGATGTGCCTCCCAAAAGGAACCAAAAGTATTGGGACAAATTAGCAACCATAAATCAAACTTTCACTTTTTAATACTTGGTAGGGTTGGGTTTCATCCCTGGGAGTGCTCTGCCAGGTGTCTCTACTGACACTGTCTTCGCTTCCTGTTCTAGGATAATTTTCCCCTCAGTTTTGTCTTCAACAAGTGAAATGCTYAATCAGATTCAGGCCAGGTAACTCACTTGGCCATTGCATAACATCCCATTTCTTTGCCTAAACTCTTTAGTTGCTTTGGCAGTATGCTTAGGATCATTGTCTCCTTCTGCACTGTGAAGCTCCRTCCAACGAGTTCTAAAGAATTTGGCAGAATATGAGCAGATAATTCTCCTGAAAATATTTCAGAATTCATCCTTTCCTAGAGTTATCTACAGTTGTTTGGTTGTGACAGTTCAAAAGTGTGCAAGTTGCAAGTTTTTGTTTCTTGTCAGGTCTGTTGGTTCTGCTTATACTTAAATATGGTCGCTATGAGTTCACAACAATTGACAACAAATTATAGAGTTAAACTTGTCAGTAAGGAAACATGAAGGTTCTGTGAATTCCCTACATACTGTTMCTTGAGGTATATGTTTCATTTAAATGTGTAAGTTATTGTATTTAATATATTAATTAAAGCAAGCTTTGTTTTGTTTGGATGACGGTTGTGTCATGCAACAATATAGTAACTTACAAGAGTTGCGCTTACTAAATGTTTGTCGAATCTAACATYTTTTTCCCCTTCATTATTTTCTCCACTGTGTTTCCAGTGAGGGTCACGTTGAAGTGGTGGGGAGCGGAAGTCTCCAGATCTCCAACATCGCAGAGCAAGATGCTGGTGTATACACCTGTGTAGCAGAAAATCCCAACTCCACCATTGAAGCCCAGGCCCAGCTCACGGTTCAAGGTAATTTTGTCAACTTGCTTCATCTTTTTTTTGTTTTTATAAACAAATGTTTTTTTTTAAGTATCTAGTTTAGGCAATGTACAGGGGAAGAAACAAAATCTCTTAAATGCCAAAAGAAATGAAGCAAAAATTATGCGYGTAATCAGAAATTCATCACAGGATTTAAATTATCCTTTCGTGCTTACAAATCAGCCTATACCTGAGTGCATTAGTAGATTTATTTTTAGGAATAAATTAGACACAAAGTGTCTGTGCTGGCTAAATGAATGCACAAATTGGAGTTGTGCGAGAAGCAGAGGCACGTGACGTTACTGAAGCAGAGAGGAGCCGTGTCTCCTCAGATTTTACTGAACTCTCAGACCGTACCTGCATCAGCGAAAAACAATCTCATTTTCATCTTATTATGTTTGGAAATGAGGTTATTAAGGGCCCCCTGGACTCCCTATCCCAGATATGAAACAAAGCCAGAGAGAGTTCAGTTTGAAAGGAAATGAAACGAGGTGTAATTTTTATATGCAAACGATGCAGAGGTAGAGGAGAATAAACACGAAACATGCAAACAGAACCAAGCAGTCTAAGTGATTGTACTGTAAATGTCGCCAGCACACATGAATCGTGTGTATTCCTGTGTGTTTTCCCAAATACGGCGAGTCAACAGGATTTGGTTTGAAATAACTTTGAAACGGGGGTGGGGGTGGGGGGACACCCTAAGGCTCATTCCAAAGGTTTATTGCGTTTCACACACACACACACACACACCCACACACACACACACACACACACACACACACACACACACACACACACACTGGGGCACACACCTTTTCTCGTCCTCATAGGAGGCGTTATCTCAGCCAGGTGTTTCTGTCTGATTCTCATCTCTCTGCTGCAGCTGCAGCTGTTGTTTACTTCAGCTTGAAGCGCATTTACATGATATCA